CTGAGTTTTGATGATTTTTCCCAAAATTGGCCACGAGGCGCAGCAAGTTGCGGGACTAGGTGACTTGCACCATACATTAATATTTTAATGATCGGCAGCCAAAAAATTATCCACTGTATCATAGTAAAATTCGTGTTACATATACTCTACCCTTAAATAAATTATTATTAATTAATTAATTAATTAATTTTTAATTTTAATAGATTGAATGGAGAGAATTGTTGCATAAATTAGCTTATGCATCCACATGTTCTAATACATTGATCTTGTGTGAAGATTATGAAATATCAACACAAGGTTTTGCACAATTTAGAAATGATTTAATTGAGGCATTTTATAATTGTGAAGGATTTAGTGAAAATCATATAATCATGCATATCTAGCAAGTTCTGCAATTAATACATCATATTCCAATAATGATAGACTTGATTTGCATTTGAGTAATAATAGTAACAATAACAATAATAATATAACATTAACAGAATTAGATAATACTGATGGAATTCAATCACTTGAAGTAAATATCAATGCAAATCAACCTGAAATAATTGATTTAGAAAGTAATAACTTATCAAATGAAATCAATTCATTTCCACTGTATTCTAAGTGTAATTCACATTCTTCACCTCAACAACCTTCATTTCAAATGCCTACCAAAGACCAACTACAACATAATCCATATATTAGAAACAATTCCAATAATAATGGAAACAATAATGTCCAAAGAAGATATAGACAAAGACAAAGATCTAATAATAATAACTTTGAATTTATTAATTATTCTATTGATAATTATGTTAATGGTAACCAACATTAAAGAATTTTAAATTTATGTAGTAAGTTGACTTATAATGGTCCTAAGTTTTAAATTCAAAAGCTAGTTTTTCATGAGTTATTTATTGTTGAGATTATATGTTTTTTGAAAATATCAGAGAAAATAAAAATAGAAATAAAAATAAAAATAACAACCTTTATCAATTTATTCTGATTATCTAATTATGTGTAAATTTTCATAAATTGCATTTTGATAAAATTTGTTGTATCACAAATTCAATTAAAAAAAAATATGTCATGGGCTTTTAGTTGAATTTTGTTTTTTTTTTTTTTTTTTTTATGTAGAAATGCAAACTTTCAATCATGAAAATTTCTAAAAAAAATTGAAAAACAATAACACTAATACTAAAGTAAGTCAGGATGTGCTCTAGATAATAATTCCATCACTATTCTTAAACACTTATTGTAAACATTAATTCCATAACACTCATCATCCTCCAGAGGATTTATCCTATTCTTTAATTCTAATAAATGCTCATCTGTAAGTACTTTATGTGGATCTTCACATACCACTTGTTCAATATTTTCAGTAGGTACTGGTCCTTCCCAGTCTACACCATACTCATTTACATTGATATCTAAATATTCCATTCCCCTGAACCCATTTTCAATCATACCTTTTATAAACAATTGATGTGGTGTTGAATTATGCTCAGTTCTTATTGAATGATTGTTCCAGGAATCTACAAAAATCTCCAAGGATCTATTAATTCTAGGTAAAAAAACATAATGCAAGCAAAACATATATACCATATTATTGGTAACTAAATTGTGATGTTCTTCTAAAAAAATGAAAAACTGCTGAATATACAACATTTTTTAAATCCACCCAAAGTCACTCAATACGTTGGTTATGCATAGACAATCCTGCAATAAAGCTTCCTTGATTCAATCCTCTATAATTTTCCATCCAATTTTTCACTAATATATTTTCACCACCTTTGTCTGCACGAACCCTAATTGGAATGCCAAATTTATTGCATCCATCTAAAAAATATTTCAATACTGTTTCAGAACAGTTATTACTACTACAATGTAAAAATGTAATCATTCATGTAAATCCATCAATTCCTCCATGTATAACAAATTTCCATTTGATTAATTTATGATTTCCATCAATGTGCCATAATGAATTAGGACCAGCAACATGATATACATGTCTAGGAATAATATGTGCCCAATGATTAATGATCCTAAATGAATCAATATGATATAATGAATCTCTGAGTCTCTGATGATGAATTTTTATTCCTAATGATCTTAGTGTTCCCATAATAATATTTTGTCCAGAGAATGGTTGCTCTTGTCTAATAATTCTAACCACACCATCAATTTGTTCATTAGTTAATTGTGTATATTCACCTATATCATCAGGAATGTTTAATTCTCTTCTACATCTTTGAATTGTTTTACTAGATATTCCAAAAATTGTATAGTGCAAGACACCTAGTCCCACAACTTTTTATTGGTCTTGTATATCCTTTAGTATACCAGAAATGGAAATGTAACACCAAAAAA